TGAGGTGCTAGTGGATTTTCCTATATTTCGAGGGGTGAATCGATTAGCTTGGGACCGAAGATAGTACCAGAGCTGAGCCAAAAAGTTGAGCACGTTATTTCGGGACCTTCTAGCACAAACGAAGTGACAGACGGAGCGGCTCGAAAACTTTGGTGACTAACCTGCTATTACAATTTTTCAGTGTACCACATGGCAACACCACTACTACTGGATTGTACCATAGAGGTAACTCTAAGACTAGAAGGTCCCGAAGAAACGTACTCAACTTTTTGGCTCAGCTCTGGTACTCTCTTCGGTCCCAAGCTAATTGATTCACCCCTCGAAACATAGGAAAATCCACTAACCCCTCATTTTATCTGTCAAACTTTCATAGCGAATCAAAACAAACATTGTGTAGTACTAGAATTTCGACTAGAATTGGATACGTTAATCGTTTGCTTGGGACCAATAGGCTAGTCAAGTAGTGAGCCAATTTAAACCCGTTAGTTTCGTATTGATTGTTGATTGTACCACATGGCAACACTACTACCATAGAGGTAACTCTAAGACCACTGGGTCCCGAAGAAAATCATTATTATTTTTGGCTCACTCAGTACCAGAACAACGGTCCCAAGCAGTCCCAAGCTATTTCACTCACCCCTGCATGTTCTGCATGAATCCACACACCTCTGATGTTATCTGTCAAACTTTCATAGCGAATCAAAACAAACATAGTGTAGTAATAGAATTTCAACTAGAATAGGGTACGTTAATCGTTTGCTTGGGACCAATAGGCTACTAAAGTGGTGAGCCAATTTAAAATCGTTAGTTTCGTATTGATTGTTGGTATAACCAACAATCAATACGAAACTAACGATTTCAAATTGGCTCACCACTTTAGTAGCCTATTGGTCCCAAGCAAACGATTAACGTACCCTAAACAAACATAGTGTAGTAATAGAATTTCAACTAGAATAGGGTACGTTAATCGTTTGCTTGGGACCAATAGGCTACTAAAGTGGTGAGCCAATTTAAAATCGTTAGTTTCGTATTGATTGTTGGTACAACGGTGTATTTTATATGTCTGTACAAGGTCTAAGGGAAGCGCATACAAAACTAGAAATTTTTGGAATATTCCTGAAATTCTTGGAAATTTTTAAAGTTCATCGAAAATTCTTGGAAGTACCTGCAAAAAATTAATGGAACTGCTCTGAAGGTCCCTTGTCATCCTTCAAGTAATCGGAATATCCGTAAAAATAATTAAATTGCCCAAAAAACTCAAAACTTCTGTGAACTTTCCTGAGGATCTCAGAACTGCAGTTTTCGGAAATTCTCTGAGCTGAACTAAACTGAGATTCATTGACCATCTCTGATGTTTTCGAAGCCATCTGGAAGTCTGCGCAATTCTTATGAAGTTCTTCTCCTGAAGAAGTTTCCTGAACATTTCTGAATTTCTGTAAAATTCCCAAAATATGTTTGAAGTTTTTTAATTTTTCATGAGTTGTCTTCACTTTCCTGAAATTCCCAGAACTCTCAAAGTTTTTCGAAATTTTCATGGAATTCATGGAGCAGTCCATAATTAGACGAAACTGGACCTTGCACATCTTCAAACTTCCCCTAAATACTGTCTGAAATTATTGGGAGTGCCCTTAAGATCTTGCAGTATGTCAGATGATATTTTTTTTTTTTTTTATTTCTTTATTAAGGAGACTTTTAGCCTTTGGCTGGTTCGTCTCCGCCAGTCAGATGATATCTGGACCTCGGTTGTCTGACATCTTGGAATTTCTATAAAGTATTCATTTGTTTTTCTCAAGTTCTGTGAACTTCAGTGAAGTGTTCATGACTTCCCTGAATTTATTAGAACTACTCAAAAGTTCCCGCCATTTCCTTGAAGCTGATTGAATCGCTTTGAAGTTATCGAAGCTTCCATGAAGTGACCGAAGTTATATAGAAGTTCTCAGATCTTACCTTAGCATGCCGCAGTCTGTTCATGAATCTTCCCCGAAATCCTTGATAGATGCTTTCATTCCTCGGATTTGCTTTGAAGTTCCTAAAAATGTTCTCTAATCTTTCCTGAAGTTGGATCGAGTGATGTGCGTTGTTCGAGTATCGGGGACACTCTCGAGTCCCTTTGAATCTCGAAGGAGGTTACGGCAAGATGATGGACGTTCGTGTCTGCTATTTAGCATCGCGGTAGAAAGTGTGATAGGCACGGGTAGCACGACGAAATGGAGGTGGTCGATGAGCTCGTGTATTTGGGTCCACTGGTGACCGCCGAAAATTATACCAGCAGAGAAATTCAAAGACGCATTATGGCACGGAATCGTGCCTACTTTGGACTCTGGAGGGTTTTATATATTCACTTTTACGGTTTCAAATAACGTTAGATGCAAAAGGGTATTTAAAAGTATTACTTTATATTTCTCACTTGCAATAACACTGGAAGAAGATTATTTGCCTCCGCTTACAGCTGCGGCTCAAGTTCGAATGAACTGGATTTATTCTGTCTCTGAAAAGAGAATCTTTTAGTACAGTATCTCTTTAATCATCGAATACACTCTTAATGTTATTTAATCGAAACTGGGTTACTACAATTCTCCCCTTTTTAGAAAATTAATACATAATTGATTTTATAACATATTTCAGACTTCAATTTATACATTCAAATATTTCAATAACTTCAAATTATTGCTACTCTTCGACATCGTTTACGTATTACGACTGTTTTGCGATTGTTTACTTTTCTGTATCATTTAATAGCTTTTGTTGGCTGAATCACCCCTGGATCTCGTCAGGATAGGACTTCGTATCTGCACATGACGCTTCTTCGCTAGATGAACATCTTCTGGCACCATAGGAACATCCGGGAAACCTAAGAAGTCTTCCTCGTCAGAAACACTTCTGTGTCTCTTCTTGGATGCCGGCATGCCCATGGATACGAATACTTTCGATTGTCGGCGAGGCGTGTGCGCCATCTTCAGCTGGTTCCTATGAGCAGTTAGCTTGTGACCACTCAATGATATCTGAAAGATATTTTTAGAAAACTTTTTAATAAATTTAGCTTCCAACCATCTAGGCAAATCTTTTTTATCAAATTTTTTATAAAACAGCTTATCCCCTGCCACTAGCTTATCAAAATCATCCGGAAGAGCTATTGTTTTACCCGATGTTTCATTATCAGTGTTTAACGGTAATAAATCATTTGTATCCTTATACAAATTATTTTTGTAATTATTCCGTGGATTAATCAAATCCAGCAGCATCTTTGGCTTGTACAAAAACACTCTTTCTGAAGGGAACTTCCCTTCCGTACCAAGACAACTATTTCTATAGTTGATTAAAAAAAGATTCAATCGGTCTTCTATATTTAAAGACCTTGTCTTCTCATCAAACAGGAATTTTTTTAAAACATCCTTGATGACTCTCACCATCCTTTCCGCTTGACCATTGCTTGCTGGGTTGTATGGTGGACTTTTAAGAACTTTGATTCCTTGGCGCTCTAAGAATTTAATAAACTCTATAGATTGAAATGGAGGACCTCCATCTGTTACTACCACATCTGGTAGACCAAAACGAGCAAAAACAGGAATGAATTTTTGAATTACCGCTTTAGCATTTGTCCCATACCGCATCCATTCTACCTCAAGCCATTTAGAATGACTGTCCACTATTAGCAGAAAGGTTTTCTTATCAAAATAAAAGCAAAATAATCAGCGTGTAATCTACTAAACGGACGGTTTGTTGGTATCCATGTCTCAGTAGATTTCACCTTTGGCACTACTTCCATTTTAGCGCAAGTATCACATCCTTTAACAAACTCTTCTATTTCAGCATTAAGACCTGGCCAGTATATTTCCTTCTAGCCAATTGCTTCATTTTAATCATTCCACTGTGATTAGCGTGCAGTAGCTTGAGCACAGCGAGTTTCATTTTTTCAGGTACAACCACCCTGTTCTCCATTAAAAGAATGCCATCAACTATCTGCAATTTTTCTTTCAGCGCGAAAAAATTCTTAAATTGCTTCGGTACATTTTTCGGCCAATGATTTGATACAAACCTCACTAGTTCTATCAAACACTTGTCTTTTTTAGTTTCTTCCAATATCAACGAAAAATCTAGTGGAAAATCATTTGAAAAGTTCAAACTATTTATATTTTCTTGATCTATTCCACTAGGAATTTTCTGATCGAGGGGAAAACGACTGCAAAAATCGGCATTTCCCATTCTTGAACCAGGTCGATACTCAATTTCAAAATTATAAATAGAGAGCTCCATTATGTATCTTTGTAATCGTGTTACAAAAACAGAATGTTTGCCCTCTTTCCCAAAAATTCCTAGCAGAGGCTTGTGGTCAGTAACCACTGTGAATTTTTGACCGAAAAGAAATTTATGAAACTTTTTAATTACACAAACAAGTGCCAACGCTTCTAAGTGCAATATCGGATACTTTTTCTGTGCTGTGTTCAACGAAAAAGAGGTGAAACATATTGGTTTTTCTATACCATCCACTGTTTGAGCCAATACGCCTCCTAAACCATAGGACGACGCATCAGTTACCACAACTAAAGGTTTGGTTGGATCATAAAAATCAAGTATGTTAGCTGATAACAAACTCTGTTTACTCTGTTGGAATGCTTCATCACATGCTTCTGTCCAAAGAAATTTTTCGTTTTTCTTCAAAAGATTGTATAGACACCTTAGTTTAGATGACATATTTGGAATGAATTTATTGTAATAATTAATAAGACCAAGATAAGCTTTCAACTCATTTTCATTCTGTGGTGTTTTAGCTTTTTCAATTGTTAAAAGTTTTTCTCGAGAAGGCAATAAACCATCTTTTGTGATCATATGTCCTAAATACTGTAGAGATTCAACGAAAAATTTACACTTTTTGAAATTAACACGAACATTTGCATTAGCAAGCCTTTCAAGTACTTGTACTAATTTGTCATAACATTCTTTTATTGTTTTACCTGCAACCAGGACGTCATCGAGATAAGAGCAGACACCTTCAAGTCCTTTCAGAACTTGGTCCATGACTTGCTGGAACATAGCCGCACTTGCGGTAAACGATTAAATGTGTATAGACCTTTAACAGTGTTAATTACAACATATTTCTTTGAACGATCCGATAGCTCGAGCTGCGTATATGCTCCTGTTAGATCCAAAGAACAGAATACTTTGCATCCTGCTAACGATGCAAAAATATCCTGAGCGAGTGGAAGAGGATAAGTGTCAGGAATTAAAACTTTATTCAAAGAGACTTTGCAGTCAATTACCATGCGTATATCTCCGTCTTTTTTCAAAATTGCGATAACAGGCGAAGCCCATTCACTAGCCTTGATAGCTGTTATAACTCCTTGTTGCTCAAGCATGTCCAGATGATTCAAAAACTTCTCCTTTAGCTTGTATGGTACCTGGTATGCACGTTTAAAAATTGGTTGCTCTGACTTGAAAGTAAGATCAGCCTTGAACCCTGAAATAGGTTCGCAAAAATCCTTACTAAATACTTTAAAATATTTTTGTTTTATGTTAACTATTGCATTTTCACGAAATGTGTCAAAGCCCAAATGGTTAATAACTCCAGGGTTCAGGAAGTGTAACTTCCATTCTGGATAGAAGCTCTCCATCCAGTCTCTTCCCAAAAGAGGGGTAAAATCAGATTCGGTATTCAAAATTACAAGTTTTTCCAAACTACTACGTCCGTTAAGACTGACCTTTACCAGAAGCTGTCCAGCAACGGCAAGCTTAGAACCGTTAACTACCACCAATTTCTTGTTACATTTTGTCAAAACAACAGAATCAAAAAGTTTTCTATACAACGTCTTACTGATCACAGCAACTGCTGACCCTGTGTCAATTTCCATCATCAACCTACGACCTTGAATTATGACCTCTACTAAACATGGTTCGCTCACGTTGCTGTTACTTCCAATTTTCATGCAATTAATATCTGATTCGTCACTAGAGTTGTTTATGCTTATTCTGTTGAATTTGTCAAATGGTACTTCGTCAGTAGAGTCTACCTGTTTTACGAATTTCACCGAATTTTTGTTTAAAAACCAACAATTTTTCCTAATATGTCCTATGCGTTTGCAATAATTACAAACTGCATTGCTGTGTCCATTCCAGTCATGTTTACCTCGCTTGAACGCATTGTTCCTGTCCCCACTTCCAGATCGACTTCCATCACGATCCTGACTTCTACTTCTTGAACGGAATCTACTGCTTCGCTGCTCTGAACGTCTATAAACGCGGTGATTATTTCTTTGACCTAAACGGTGCCTAACCGACAAAATAGCTCCTGTGTCGTTCGGATCAACAATTTCTCTGGTTCTCTGGCTTGCAACTTCATCGCTAATGATTAACTTTTCTACTGCTTCAACCGTTATTTCGTCTTCCATCAATATTTTACGCTGAAGTTTTTTATCACGAAGACCAATAATGAGTCTATCTCTAACAGCTTCATCCTTGAACTCCTTGAAGTTGCAACTTTCTGCTAATAGTTTTATTGCGAGAACAAAATTTTCAGCGCTTTCGGTTGGTCCTTGAAACTTAGTGTAAAATTTGTATCTGTGCATAAGTGCAGGTTCAGTCTTATCAAAACGACACTTCATTTTTTGAATTATTTCATCAAAATCCAACTCATTTACATCTTTTTTTGGAAATAGCAATTTGATCTCGTCAAAGACATCATCACCACTAAGGGAAATAAACCACTGCTTTTTCTCTTCCGCTTTAACTTTGTTTAATTTACACATTATCTCAAATCGCTCTATATAATTGCAAAATGATTTACCAACATGAAAATGATCAATTGTTCCGATCATACCAGGAACTGACATTTTGTTTACAATCTATCTGCGAATGGAATGTGAAAAAGGCTATTACTCACGTTTTCTGTTGTTCACTATTCACTGAATCTCACCCTCAACCTACGAGAAGCGCTCTGCTCAAGGTTCAACTGTGTCGTTCACGCCAGACGTTCTCCGATGATCTACACACTCTCACTGCTTGTTTTGAACAATCCGCCGTCCGTTCACTCGCGCTGGAGATGACACTCCGTTCGGTGAAATTATTTGTTCCTCCTTTCCACTAATCGACGTAAAAAACCATGCACTTCTTTCTTGCTCTCCGTATAAACTTCACGTTTCCACTTTGCAATTAAGTGTTTGCTGCTACTGATTTCTTGTTTACTGCTATTGATCCACAAGTGTTCTCTCGACTTGTCTCAACAACCGGACCGATTGTCTGACACTCTCGCTACTTGGTTACTCACTCTTACGATTCGGTAACTCACGAGATTCCGTAGCTCTCTTCTCTCGTTGATTTTTCTCTCGGAAAATTTGTTATACTCACGTCGAGAAACGTCTCTCGCCTTCTCTTGTACACTAGGAGACAAAAGAAAACGACTCTGTGACGGGGACTGTGAAAGAAAATTCAAAATGGAGATTAGTAATTGTGAAGAGGACAATGAACGGTGAATTTGGAATTTATTTCACAAAACCAATATGCGCACAAATATTTCACTACAAGAAAATCCTTATTTTCCTGAACTCGTTCGATGCTAACACCTTCACGGCTTTGAATATGCTCAACAGCTACTCTAGCAAAATTTGCTTACAAGTGCACTGTCTGCTACGACGTAACTTACCCTAGCTCACTCTGGAAACTTTCCGTCTGAGCCTGTTTTCGGTGGATTCGTTTCACTTTCTCGTCGCCGCTTTTATATATTCACTTTTACGGTTTCAAATAACGTTAGATGCAAAAGGGTATTTAAAAGTATTACTTTATATTTCTCACTTGCAATAACACTGGAAGAAGATTATTTGCCTCCGCTTACAGCTGCGGCTCAAGTTCGAATGAACTGGATTTATTCTGTCTCTGAAAAGAGAATCTTTTAGTACAGTATCTCTTTAATCATCGAATACACTCTTAATGTTATTTAATCGAAACTGGGTTACTACAGAGGGGGCTCCGGTCGAATAAAATTCGCCGCCGCACGAAGTCGACTATCTACAAGACGCTTATTAGACCGGTGGTCTATGCTGGACTATGCTCGTAGAGGACCAACGCGCCTTTCGTGTTTTCGAACATAAGGTGTTGCCGAGGGTGTTACGTACCATCTACGATGGAGTGCAGATGGATGACGGAATGTGGATGAGGCGAATGAACCACGAATTGCACCAGCTGCTGGGAGAACCATCGATAGTTCACTTTGCAAAAATTGGGTGACTACGGTGGGCTGGGCACGTCGTAAGAATGTCGCACGACGACCCAGTGAAAATGCGAAAGCGACCCAACAGGAACAAGAAGAAGAGGCGTGCAGCGGGCAAGGTGGATCGACCAAGAAGAAGGCGACCTGCGAACCCCTCGCAGACTACCTACGAGGCTGGCGTAGTGTGGCCATGGAGTAGAGTTCAGACGAATATACTTTTTATCCGTATGAACATAAACTCGTCAGTAGGATGAAAATCATCAACGTTAGCCACTGAGGGTGATCAGGATATTTGAGCGAATGGCCTTCCATTAATTTGGCTAAAAAATGTTTTGTTAAATTATGGAATAATAAGATATTATGATAATATTTTATTTGTGTAAGCAACAAGAAAAGAATCGGAAGTTTGTGTTTGACACATAATAGCTGCCAAATTGTCGCAATAAGCTATTTTGTCCTTCATCTCACCCATTCTTCGCGAAGAGGCGATCAGAAAATCGTTTATTGTGACTCTGTCGAAGCTAAATTTGCATGTTTTATGTGTCAAACACAAACTTTACAATTTTTTCTTAATACTTACACATACACAATATCATCATAATATCTTATTATTCCATAATTTTTAGCAAAAATGAATGGAAGGCACCCTGCGAATGACTACAGAAAAAAACGTCGTAATGTATATGGGATTTCGGATACATAACAAAACATGCGCCATCGATCTGATTTAATTCATTATGTATATGTTTATTCAATAAAAGCTACCGTAGAAAATCAAATATGTTTGTTTACCACAAAAATATCTTAAAACTAATTAACCAGTGTTATATTTGTATTTTTATACAAAGGCAATTTCAAATAGAGTAAATGTTTTCATCAACAACTGCCACTAAACGGAAAACTTTATACAAGTAGCAAAAAAACCAACTTCAAAAATGTTTTTAATGATAAATTTAGTCGTTTGCACGGTTTCTATGTAGATGTATTTACAAGTTTAAAAATTTCAGCCGGACTCCATCCAACATCGCGGCCTATTTTTCATGTCAGCACTCTTGTCTCTTTTTACAAAAAAAAAAATCAGTTCTTACTTAAATTAATCCTCCTCCTCGTGTAATCGATCCTATAAATTTAAGAAATACATTTTTATATAGCTATATGATACTTCTAAGGGGGAAAAACTTCAAAAAGATTGAATAAACTAGGCTAAAAACTACACCTATCAATCTAACGTTCAAGGTACTTTTTGATTTTTTTTTTGTCTGTTTTGAAAATTTGTTCATTGTTTATTGCTCGTTCAATTATTACAGGATGACTGAAAAGCTGCGAAACGATATTAGACGTATGCTAAAGGCCATGTAAAGAATTTTTATTGGAAACGTTCTTATATACAAAAAAGTCTAATGCAAGGCATTGCCGTCATTATTAGCTGCAAGTCAACTAACAGTCTTTTCTCTGTGGATGTAAGCTAATTGGTTTACACTTGTTTTCAATTAAATGCATTCGGTCATGTAAGCTATGTTTGTCTGTATGCGATCAAGTCTGGCGTTGTTCATTGGATTTCTAATTTTGCATATTTGTTTAATTCAATCAAAAATATCACGTTTTCTGTTTTTAATCACATTTACCGAGTGAGGTGTGTGTTTCTTCCAACGAAGGAGCTTCTTCCAGGCTCGATTTAGCTATAGTTTAAAGCGGATTTAATTAACTACTGCTGTTTGTGTTCACAGTTCGAAAATCGAACATGCGCTCACAGCGAAGGCATCTCAGGTTTGTTGTGGCAATAACGTATTTTCCATCATATTTATGTCAAACATAAACAATCGAGTTTACATGCATTTTTTCTTCTTCTCGCGCTGGCGCTTTTCTCAAGCTTTGGTTTACCTTTACACCGTATAGGAGCAGAGTGCAATGTGGAATTTAATGGTATGAAACACACAGAAGATTGGGATTGACTTGCCATCAACACGTATAAATAGTAATCATCATCATCATCGTCATCATCAACAACATTCCGTTCGTCGAGGTCCGCTTTTCCCCTTGCGTTATTCTTTCGTCTTCATTTTACTATTTTTGCTTGCCCATATTGTTGTACACTTGTTTCGTGCGATCGCCCCTATAATAGGACTGTTATATACACGTTATTAGCATACACTTTCACGCACAGATGTTTTCGATTGATATTTGAATTGGCTGTCTTTACAGCAGCTTAAACGGCTGGATCTTGCGTGCGTGGTGCTTTTCGTTAGTGTGTTGATCGCAGCAAACTTTTTTTTTTAACTAATTAGGTGCACACCTACTAGCAAGCATGAACGGCTAATTTCGGTGAAAGTAATAAATCTTGGGTTTGTTGTAATCTATATTGAACTACACTAAACGTTCGCTAAGTGAAAGACTTTCAACTGAAATGTCTTTTAACTGAAAGTTCGACATTCATAAGTCAAAATTGTGCGATATCCAAATGTCAAGAACTTTTCCACAAATGGTTTGGATTATACCCAGAACACGTCGTTAAGCAAAATAACCATAACAATTTCAATAGGGCCGTAGCGTGGGTAGATCACATTTTCGTGGTACCGTGGGTAGATCACCTTTTCGTGTAAGATCTACCACCGAATCCTCGTCCTGACTGCTTCAAACTAGGGGAACCGGATTTTTCAGTAATCAAAGGAACGCATCTTAGTCCTTGTTACTTTCTATGCCTTGATGATAGTGACAATACTCGGCTTTGTCCACCGAGGATGAACTTGGATTTTCCACGTACTGCCACAGGACCAGCTCTCAATCAAGAGTGGACGTTATATTTGAATTCCCCCCCATGATTAATCCAAATGTTTAAAGTTTCACTGTATAGTTTTGGGCTTGATTGATTAAGTCTGTCGGAAGTTTGAAACATTTCAGCACAGACAAACAGACATAACTGTTAGAAGAAATTTTTTCAAAAATATCGTCAAGCGTATTTTGCATGCGCACTAGCACCATCTATCATCCACATTCCCAAGCAATGTTTTGCAACCGGAGCATCTCTCGTGCATGCAATTTTTTCACTAGTTGCTTTTCCCTCGTTCTGTCAACGCGTCAGCTGTGTTGAATAAAGAGATGTGACTATTCTTACTTATTCAAACTCCGACTAAATTGCTCAAGTCCTTATTCAGGGAAAAGCTGGGATAGACACAAGTGGCACTTTTAGGAAGTCCATCCAGCTTCTTGGCTTCGCCGATGACATCAACATCATGGCACGGAACTTTGAGACGATGGCGGAAACGTTCATCAGACTGAAGGCTGAAGCACAGAGAACAGATGTTGAGGCTCGAACAATATTTCTGTAAAAACTTGTGTAAAGATTCCTTTTCAACTTAAGCGCTACTAACGGCGACTTCCCCACTTAAAAACTCTCTTTGACAACCTGAAGGCGCTGGCGTTACGCAAATTACACTAGACACTAAGTGCTGGTAGCGCCAAGTGGCAATTATCAACAGAAAATTTATCGATACTAGCGCCAAATTGGTCGAAAGTGGAAAATTTATAGGGGAAATCAGGAGCTGCTAGCGCCACGTAACGGCGATGTTCCCACTTATTTTACACAAGTTTCTGACCGAAGTTGGACGTCTGTTCTCTGTGGCTAAAGCTAGGCAGATTGGAGTTCCCTAAAAAAATGGTATGGTTATTTTGCTTAACGACGTGTTCAGGGTATCATCCAAACCATTTGTGGAATAGTTCAATCATTTGGGCTATCGTTCAGGTATGGTATTTTTATTAGGGTTGCCATTAACGCATCGAAGACCAAATACATGAGAGGAGGAGAAGGTTCTAGGGAAGACAATGTTAGCATAGAGGTAACTCTAAGACTAGAAGGTCCCGAAGAAAATCATTATTATTTTTGGCTCACTCAGTACCAGAACAACGGTCCCAAGCAGTCCCAAGCTATTTCACTCACCCCTGCATGTTCTGCATGAATCCACACACCCCTGATGTTATCTGTCAAACTTTCATAGCGAATCAAAACAAACATAGTGTAGTAATAGAATTTCAACTAGAATAGGGTACGTTAATCGTTTGCTTGGGACCAATAGGCTACTAAAGTGGTGAGCCAATTTAAAATCGTTAGTTTCGTATTGATTGTTGATGTTAGCCTCCAACCGATCAAATTTGAACGTTTACACGTCAAACGTAGAGTCGGTGTATAATGAGTCACGCCAACAGTGAAGCCAAGTCTACCTATTGAACTGTCAAACCGGCTACCTATCGTGCAAAGTAAACAAGCATTACGATGCTATGAAAGGTCCACGACAGGTATTGCAATTAAATATAAAATATAATCGAAGAAATGATCATAAACACGCAGTGAGCATAACATTTATCATGCGATACGTTTTGTAATGGCCAGTAATGACAATTTCTACTGTTTTTCGTTAAGATAAATTGACAAAATCACTAATTTAATGATGTACTACAGTCGTTACTATTTTTCCTCGCTAGAAGTCATTTGAAGTGGATGCAGAAGTCCTCTGTTGCCAAGTGAAAAGAAAGGGAATCTTTCGGAAAACCGTGATGCGAGTCAACTGTTTTTCTCTTGGCGTGACTCATTATACACCGACTCTAGTCAAACGACACAACCCAAACGTCAAATCATATGTTCCCTACCAAAAACTTAGCCAGATTGTGACGGCCATAAGCGCTCGTAAAATACTGGATAAGCTACTCGAGTTTAGCGTACACTAGAATAGGGTGTTTGCCGTGTTTGCAATTAGCGTGTTTCCATTTAACGGAAACACACACACACATGTGAAAAAGGTGTAGTCGATTCCGCTATTCTGACACCTACAAGTAACAAGTTGGTTTTTTTTAATTATCGCCGAAATCACAGTTTCATCTTCAGCGTTCCCTTTATAAATTGCGGTGTGTATTTCGGTGAACTAAGAGGAAAGTTAAGTTTGTCGGTGAGTTAAGTTCCAACGTACGGACTTTTAGTTTGGAATTCGCCGCCGCACGACGTTGACTATCTACAAGACGCTGATTAGACCGGTGGTTCTCCACCGACAAACCGACATGAATGACCATAGAAAAAACAATAAAAATTCTGACCAAAGCACACTACTGACACTCCGTGTTCACGGGAAATATTTAGCAAAGTCATGAACCCGCATGCAAAAGTTATGAATTGGTTCGTGTTTGATCTATTCTGGATAAATTATTTTTATCTAGATAAAAAATTCTATGGATTTGACAGTTCGGATCACTGCACATTTAAATCGGCCGTTTACGATTTTCGGGCACAAGTCAAAATTAAGTGTCATGTCAGTTTGTCGGTGGGTTCTCTACGGCCACGAGACCTGGACTATGCTTGTGGAGGACCAACCGAACGGAAGGTGCTGCGTACCATCTACGCTGGAGTGCAGATGGATGACGGAACGTGGAGGAGGCGAATGAACCGCGAATTGCACCAGCTGTTGGGACAACCATCCATCGTCCACACTGGAAAAATTGGGCAAAGTTACAAGAAGAGGTTGTGAAGTAAGTGTTTGACTCATAACACCTGTTAGTTTCGCTTTCAGAAAGTGACAATCAGCGATTCGCTAACGAATCTTAAAATCGATTATTGTGACGCTCTGGAAGCAATATTGACAGGTTTTATGAGTCAAACACCAACTTCACAATCTTCTCTTGTAACATACAAGTAAAATTATTATTATAACATCTAATGTATTCATAATTCCGAAAAACTATTTTTATAGGCAGTGCGTGGAAGCAACCCTGTTCCTAGGCACTAGGCTTTCGCATTGATTTGTCTGACACGATTCAGGTCGGATCTAGACTCCATAACCCATAGTCACCAGAAAATGATCCGGCTATATCTCCGGAACCATTTGACCGATTCCAAAAAAAAATCAATACTATTCATTTGGCGTTTCTTGGAGTTAAAAAAAAATCGCAGGTGAATTGCAAGGCAATAGTATTAGCAGTAGTAGTTATAGGTAGAATTCCAAAGTACTACTAAGGAGAATTGTATAGGGATTGTGATTAGAATTCATGGACAATTTTATGAGGAATTCCAACATAACTTGGTGAATTTTAACGAAATTTTGAGTAAAATTCAAAGGGAATTCTGATGATAATTCTTAACAACAATTTCAAGGAAATACTGACAAGATTTCCAAAAGCATTCTGACATATGGATTCCAAGTGAATCCTGTTAACAATACAAAGGGAATCTGAATCTGAGCATAGAAATCATTTTTTTTTTTAAATTTCACTCCGCATTTTCGTGTAACGGGTAATTTTGGCCGGTGTTCTGTGACCTTTATATTGAATATTGTCAATCAACGCAAGTTCATTGGTCACCCTGCATTCGACAGTAGCTACTTACAACGATCGTCATTTTCAAAGCTTTGTTATTCTAAAGGCCGGTTTAAGATTCAACTCACTTGACCTACGAAAGGAAACCTGATCGATGTCAAGTCAATTGAACGCCGACTACCTGATCGGGGATGCGTTGAATCAACTCACTTCAACCGTATATTTTGACCTTAACGAATTAAGCTCTGCTGGACAGTTCTCTAATCCCGTCTTTCCAGTGTGATGTTGATGACGATGATGACGACTCCTCGGTATCACTTGGCAAACCCATTTCAATTCTCGTTTAAAAAAAAAAAACCCGATTCTAATCCTATTATCATCAGTCTAACGATAACATTTTCTTCTAGGAAAACTATACGCCGACTCCAGATTTATTGTGATTTTCAATATGAAAATTAATAACCGCACTTACTCAGTTGTAGTTGATGGGATGACATATGGACGGGTTGGGCGGTTGGTAAACGACCTTCTGTATCATCTCTCCGCCGCCTCCAGTATGGGAACCGGTGTTGTTGTTCCCATTCGGACTCAGCTCTCCCGTTTGATGGTGATGGTACTGTTGCTGCTGCTGTAACTGCTGCTGCTGCTTTTGCCGGTACTTAGTGGAGTATTTGTAGAAATCGGACATCTCGAACGGTTTGGTAACTTCCTTGTAGGGCTGTATTTTGCCCTGTTGGACAACGGTTACGTTTTTCGGCGATTCCGTTTGAATGTCGGGCGTGGAATGGATTCCGGATGCGGATCCCGTAGTGGTTATTGTCGAGGGAGTAGGAGAAACGGACGATTGCGGTCTTAGTGTAGGGGATGTGAGCGTGTTGGAAGAGGATGCCGATAGGGTTGGGGAGATTAGAAGGTCAGGATGTCGGGACGATAGGTTATTTTGCGGAGGAGCTTCCTGGCATTGATAGTAATGGGGTGGGAGGTTGTGATTTTCCCGATCGTAGTACTGAGGCGAATGTGGAATAAGATCCAAATGCTGCTGCTGTTGCTGCCGTTGTTGGTGCATTGCATGGGAGTAGTGACTTTGATGTTTCGGTGGTTGAGGAGGGGACCGAAGAAGCTTCTGCTGTAGTAATTGTTGTTGCTGCTGCTGTTGTTGTTGTTGTTGTTGTTGTTGTTGTTCTAGCAGATAGGCTTGATGTTTCTGTTCTTCCAGCTGTCTTATCCGATGCTGTTGCTGTTGACGTTGTTGTTCCAAGATTTGCTGTTGTTTTTGCTGATAGTATCGCATTTGCTGGGGTGACAAAAGCAAAGGCGATGAAGGTGATGATAAACCGTAGTTGCTGCTGGTATTGATATGCAACGGAGTTTGTAGAGTTGAATGCGATTGCGAATGATGATGAGGAGGCGGTGGTGGCGGTGGTTCGGGATACGCCGGAAGTGCGGGAGGATTGGTCATCGACGAAGGAAGGGTTTTGTGCTTAACGACTGGACTATCCAACGAAGTTTCCCGCCAAACCTTCTCTCGTTTCTTGTGTTCACTGGATCCGGAGGTAACGGAAATTGTATCAGGTTGAATCGATTCATCTGATTGTTGCCGTTGTTGCTGTTGCTGCTGCTGCTGTTGTTTGTTGATAAAATCAAAGTTTCCCATTGAATTACTTTTGGTGGGAGCAGCGTACGCGTGTTGACTTAGTTTGGACCGGGAAAGTTTCATACTACCTCCTCCTTGTTTCCGATCCAGACTTGAGAAACGGTTGTCGACTGAACACCAAACCTTTTCTCCTGTTTCGAGCATCATCCAATATCCTCCGAGACCGGCTGCTCCTTCCTGCTGCTGATCGTAATTGAAGCCAGGAGGCAGTTTCGGGCAGAAGTTCTGGTCACTCATAGAGGTTGAAGGAACCAGTGGTGGAGGAGGCGGTGGAGGAGGCTGCAGCCTTGAGATCATTTTGACATCATACACAAATGCTTGTCCGGCAACCGTTGATGATCCACTAGCTGGAGGTGAAAGTACGTAACCAGGACTTGTGCCGTGGGAATGATGACCCGGAGGAGGACTGTAACTATGGAGCTGCTGTTGAATCAATTTATTCAATCGATGAGGACCACCACTCTGCAGCTGCTGTTGTGACTGTGCCTGGTAATGCTGATGTGGGTGAGAATGATGATGATGTCCACTACCGCTACTCACGGGCGACAGCTTCGCCGTATCTCCCGAAGCACCCGTTAGGTCATAACTTATCATTCCACTAAAGCTATCGTGCCGGACGCGATGTCTAAGCATACTCAGTTGAGAGACCATCGCTGCCGAGGCAGCAGGAGTCATACTTTGTGAACCGGATGGCATAACCGACAGTGTTCCCGAGTGGATCGAATAGGGCGAGATTTGCTGCGAGTGATAATGGCCTGGATGCTGCTGAACTGGAATTTGCACTAAAAGCTGCTGTTGCTGTTGCTGTTGATGTTGTTGTTTTGGAGCCGAACCAATTGAACTATTTAGGTTGCTGGAATGGTTTGACGATGCATTCGATTTCACCGAGTTCCTCCGCTCCGACACATTCATCATCATCATGCTGCTGCTGTTGCTGTTCGATCGAAACCGATTAAAGTTACTGCTTTTATGAATGTCTATATCGTCCCTCGTTGCAGGAGGAGATTTTTGCTGCTCAGCAGCTTGTTGCTGACGTTTTTTCAGTACGCTTAAATTTTGATTGATTGCTAATAGTTTCTGCTGAGCAGTTTCATAGTTTTGCTTGTGTGTCCTTCGAACCGACTTAGATTGAGAGGTATCATTAGCTAATCGGAGCGATGCCTCCGATATCTGCTGCTGTATTTGCTTTTCCAAAAGAAGCTTATTGATGTCGTCTTCTTTATTGTTCAACAGATTTTCCGGCAGCTTGAAGCTGGTACCAATCTTCCGTCTCAAGGTGGGTGCCGCTCCATTTTGATCTTGACTTCCAATGCCAGCACTGAAATCACTCGGATACATTCCAATAAGTTGAGCCTCTTCTCGTTTGATTTGCTGCAACTGGGCGTACTTTTCGTTGAGCCTTTTTTCCAGCTCAGCTTTGCGAGCTTTGAGCTGATCATATTTACAAGGGCTTTTGGTGGCGCCATCGTCCTTGGTCCCTACACTCTTCAAGCTGGAAGGACTTCCTTTCTGAATGTCGACCACTGCTGCTCCAACACCTGCCTTGGAGGTAGTTGCCTGCTGTTGATGGGGCGGATTGCCAAAGTATGGTTGCTTCACCTTAGCATCCCCCATGTTTAGTTTCTTCTTGTTCTTCAGCTTTTGCTCTTGTTTGCACTCACATCGAACAGCACTGCCGCAAACGGGTACTAATGCTTCTGTGAATCATCATCGTCGTCGCCGCCGTTGTCATGAGGAGTGCAGCCACCAGAAAAGACCTTCTATTGAAACTCACTGATTATAATTAATGCAATTCGCGCGCGCTCTCACTTCTCATAACAACGAAACACACATATTGGAACGGTACGGTACACTACTGACTGTTGGCTTTGGGTCTTCTTCAAGTACGTACACTCAAATCTTCTCTCTTCGCGATGCTTCTGATTCGCTTAGTAGCTGCTGGCAGTCAACCGATACACTTTTGTTTTTTTTTCAGATTAGATAAGCCTTGTACTATTATTTCCACACTCATATGATACTGCCTTTGTTGCTACACTTCTTTTATTTTTCTTCTTCATAGACGTTGATCTTATCTCTGGGTTCAAAAGGTGAAAAGTCGACGTTGTCAGATGCACACAATAAACAGTAAAATTAAGAGGATGTTGCACAAACAGTACTGCTAAACTTTAGACATGCTTATATTTTCAATATTTCTGTGCACAGTAGTTCTTAATTTGCATCTATATGCGTTCTGGTCATTGAAAAATTCTGGACTGCAGTTTATTACTGAATCGTTATAATTTCAAAATATTTACCTACTTTGAAACATCTTCGAAAGTTTTGACGTTCCACACGTACCTAAATAATATACATTAGGCTTTAATTTAATTAAAACAATCCAAAATCCTTCGATTACCAGCCAACCATTTTCGTTGCTTCGTCACCATCATTCCGCGATGATTCACGTTACGGTTTCCACTAACTGTATGTCGACGCTTTTCCAAAAAATTCCCTCACAGGCAATCCATCCGTCTGCGCGATATCATTCGTTGTGCATAAGCAGCTATTAGATAGCCAAGTACTTGTGTGATGTGATGGGTAGGTGGAGGGCCGCTTACCCCATCGCCATTAGCCATTCATCGCTCACTAGGCTATTACTGGCGTTGTTGTTGTTGCTCCTGTTGGTTGAGGGCTGGCGTAAAGGAAACGATGTAGGAAAAGGGCCAAGCCCCGAGTGTGCAGGGGCCGTTCGTTCACAACAATTTCATTCAAACACCAACACAAATGGACACTAACCGTACGCCCAACATATTTTTGCTGACGATGACTGTACGCCTCTCTTTCACTCGAATGGCCGACGTCTACTATGCTGTGCTCTTTCCTTTTTCATCGTCGGAGATGGGTGTCCTGAATTCTTTCGCCCAACTCTCGACGAGATTTTATGCTACGGGATCCCACGGAATAGCGCCTACCTTTGTGGGCGGATTTCACTATCGAACCACACTGGAAACGTTCGCAAAACTAGCACAAACTGAAACAAACGGACTAAACACTCGGACTAAATCACTAATGAACTAAAGAAACAACTTAAAATAAACGGAATAAAGCAAAATGTTTGCTACGATAGAGCAGCGAACTGAGCTCGATCTGCTGCTGCCTCACGTTTCGCAGTTAGTACACACACATTCACAGAAACTGGCTAACGAGAAATCTCGTACTCGGATACTCTATTCGTGTACGGTAAGACACCCATTGGTGTGAGCAGGAAAAACAAACGGCTGTCAGTGATTATTTGCACAGATCTGCATTCAGGAAGAACAATCAATATTTTTCACAAGGGGTGTATCATCAGCAATAATACACGGAGAAAAAATACTACCCAAAATTTGCGTTCTTTTTACTTAATTTTGAGTTGACCCTTGCACCAAAGATGAATACAAGAGCAAATTTTCATTATGTCGTAAGTAACATTCGCACTAGAGTCGGTGTATAATGAGTCACGCCAAGAGTGAAGCCAAGTCTACCTATTGAACCGTCAAACCGGCTACCTATCGGGCAAAGTAAACAAACATTACGATGGTATGAATGGTCCACGAAAGGTATTGCAATAAAATATAAAATATAATTGAAGAAATGATCATAAACACGCAGTGAGCATTAAATTGTCATGGGATACGTTAGGTAACGATCAGTAATGAGAATTTCTACTATTTTTTGTTAAGATAATTTGACAAAATCACTGATATAATAATTTACTACAGCCGCATTTTTTCTCTCTCGCTAGAAGTCATTTGAAGTTGTTGTAGAAGTCCTCTGTGGCCAAGTGAAAAGAATGGGAATCTTTCGAAAACCGTGATGCGAGTTCAACTGTTTTTCTCTTGGCGTGACTCATTATACACCGACTCTAATTCGCACCAATCCGAGAAAAATAAGGTTTTGTTTTGATGACCGAAAAGTTATTCCTATTTCCAAGTAAACACATATAATCTCATAGTGATAGCAATGTTTAACATATTTAGCAGGGTTTTAATCATACAAATGCAAATCGCTAGCTTTCATGCTAAAAAATACTGGTTTTTGAGTCAAAAGTTATTATACGTCGTTTGGTGGCCCCTATTGTTACTTAAGTCAAAGTGTATTTACCAGGATATTCGGCAGAATTATCAATTACGTCTCCTTACGTGCAGCCCATTCATCATTTTAGGACCACCGAAATCATCTTAGCAACAAACAGTTCGATTTATTCACTTTAATAATGAGAAAGCGAAACGACGAAAGTACACTTTTCACGGGTTTCTCAGCGCTGTTACTTAAGTCAAACGGCATCTCCATAGAAATTGGGTGACTTAAGTAACATCGAAAACTATTTTGATCGGAAGGTGATTACGTCGAAAAGCAATTTGACTGGTAAATAAATTTAAAAATGGGATTTGATCCTATATTCGGACAGTATATAGTGTAATAGCAGGAGAATCGATTGACACTGATAGCTCGACTTTGTTTACCTTTGTTACATTCGACGTAATGAAAATTTGCTCTTGAATACTAAGATGAAACTGTCGGAAGAAAAACTTTCTATTTTAGTGTCTTCTTTCACGGTCCCTTTCATCCAATGAGAACCCCCCGTATTCAAGGTAATTTTGTGGTTTTGCTGCCCCCTCGGAAGAGATGAAATTTTGCGCTCATTTTTATCAAAACAATCACACCAAAATCAGAGATGTCCCATTTTTTAATTACTCGATTAACAACTAATCGATTATTTTTTGTTCGCTGTACTACCATTTTTCCACCAATGAGAGTGCAGCACATGTTTGAAACGATCGGTGATGATCCTGTGGAGATGTTAATGCTTATATCGGCATGATCTAACCGATTATAAATAGTTTACTTTTCGGTTCGTTAATCGATTAAACGATTATTCGAATGAAAATCGGACATCACTAGATGAATGTGAAACGTCATTTCAAATATAAGGCCGTTCATAAATAATGATACAATTTGAAAGGGACCGGAGCTAATCACAAATTACGTCTCCATGGTAACTGAAATAAACACGAGTGTTCACCGGTTGCTTGCACTAGTTCAGGCATAACATTCGCAGCAAAAAAAGTTGTTGAATATTACATCGAAACTGCTGCAACCAGGTCAATCCATCGGTTGTGTAATATCACATTGTACGATGTACATCGATTTTGCGAACAAAATTACATCCATTCATGTAATATTGCATATGCTTTTTGCTATTACATCATTATTTCATACATCTACTTGAATTACATTGATCGGTATTACATTTTTTTTGCTGTGTTTGATAACGGCACAAGAGCATTTGTAAACAAACTTTCTAAGGCCCTTTAAACACGAACCAAAGTACGCCCACGCAAACCAACAACATCATCGGATAGGGGCAACTATCACCTTTCCGAAAGTGGTATTGGTTTGCGTGAGCGTACTTTGGTTCGCGTGTAAAGGGCCTTAGAAATTTTGTTTACAAATGCTTTTGTGCCGTTATCAAATGTTATGCCTGAGTTATTGTCAACAATCAATTCGAAACTAACGATTTGAAATTGGCTCACTACACTACTTGACTAGCCTACACAGCAAAAAAAGTTGTTGTATATTACATCGAAACTACTGCAACCAGCCCTAATAAAAAATAACGATAAACGAACGATAACCCAAATCATTGAACTATTCCACAAATGGTTTGGATGATACCCAGAACACGTCGTTAAGCAAATTAACCATACAATTTTTATTAGGGAGGTCAATCCATCGGTTGTGTAATATCACATTGTACGATGTACATCGATTTTGCGAACAAAATTACATCCATTGATGTAATATTGTATCTGCTTTTTGCTATTACATCATTATTTCATACATCAGCTTGAATTACGTTGATCGATATTACATTTTTTTTTGCTGTGTATTGGTCCCAAGCAAATCGATTAACGAACCCTATTCTAGTATAAATTCCAGTACTACACTATGTTTGTTTCGATTCGATGTGAAAGTTTGACAGATAAAATTAGGGGTTAGTGGATTTTCCTATGTTTCGAGGTGTGAATCGATTAGCTTGGGACCGAAGATACGACCAGAGCTGAGCCAAAAATTTGAGCTCGTTTCTTCGGGACCTTCTAGTCTTAGAGTTACCTCTATGGTATTAGCATAGAGGTAACTCTAAGACTAGAAGGTTCCGAAGAAACGTGCTCAACTTTTTGGCTTATCTCTAGTACTCTCTTCGGTCCCAAGCTAATCGATTCACCCCTCGAAACATAGGAAAAACCAATAACCCCTCATTTTATCTGTCAAACTTTCATAGCGAATCAAAACAAACATTGCGTAGTACTAGAATTTCGACTAGAATGGGATACGTTAATCGTTTGCTTGGGACCAATAGGCTAGTCAAGTAGTGAGCCAACTTAAAATCGTTAGTTTCGTATTGATTGTTGGTATTAGGCTTTATCGGCTCTATGAATCTTTTTGTCGAACCTCCTAACGGAATCCCTTTTTGAAGAGCTTATTGAGTGGTGTTGAGTACTTGGCAGTCTGCAAGTAGTAGGCAAAATACGCGTATCTGTCAAAAGATAAGCAATTATAACGGATTTGGAAGGAAATAAATCAACACACTCAAAAGGCTTTATGAGCTTACCCATTAATGAGGGCTTTCAAGTTAGCGTGCACATGTAGCTCATTACTGTTTTAACTTTACTCATTCATCGGAACGCCCCTCGTACACGAAACAACTCGAGACCCTTTTTCATCCAAACCAAACACGACTCGTTTCCAATATTAAAAGTCACAATCATCAGCAATCAGTAATTGAAAATTATTCATTCATATGCTTGTATGCTTGCGATGATTTGCGAACGTAATGGTTCTTCGTTCTGTTTCGATATCAGTGTTTTCAAAAGGTCTGCAACGAACGGACAACCTTTGACCGTGTTTTCTCCTAGTATAGAATTAAAAATTTGAATAATGGCTCTAAAAGGATTGAATGTTCTGGAATTTGTTGGTTTAGCTCCGGGACCATTCTGCGGAATGATTTTAGCCGACTTTGGCGCGACCGTGACCAGGATAGATAAGGTTTGTATGGGACGAAAATAAGAACTTTGTACTCATACTGTTTTAATATTCTAGTCACCGATAAATAACTTGGACGTTCTTCAGGGTGGTAAAAGAACATTGTCATTAGACCTGAAGAAGCCGAAGGCTATCGAGATAGTTCGTTCTTTGAGCCGTAAATCCGATATACTGATTGAACCCTTCCGGCCAGGAGTTATGGAAAAACTGGGATTAGGTCCTGCTGTAATGATGAAGGAAAATCCAAGGCTGATCTACGCTCGTTTAACGGGATTTGGTCAGAGCGGATCCCATGCACCCAGAGCAGGTCATGATATCAATTATGTAGCCTTGTCAGGAATCTTGTCCTTATTCGGCAGGAAAGGGGAACGTCCAACTGCACCTATAAATTTTGCTGCTGATTTTGCCGGCGGTGGTCTGTTGTGTGCTTTTGGAATTTTAGCAGCAGTATTGGAACGGCATCACTCTGGAATGGGTCAAATTGTAGATCATTCAATGGTTGAAGGCGCTGCTTATGTTGGTAGTTGGCTTATACGTTCCCAGAAACTTGCAATATGGGGGAAACGACGTGGGGAAAATATGCTGGATACAGGAGCGCATTTTTATGATACGTTCCAAACGAAGGATGGCAAATACATGTCCGTTGGAGCTCTTGAACCACAATTCTACAAAGACCTGTTGCAGGGATTGGACCTGCAAAACGAACTGCCTCAATATGACGAAAATGACAAAAATAGACACCTAATTGAAGCTATTTTCCTGACCAAAACGAGAGACGAATGGACTGACATATTCAAAAATCTAGATGCGTGTGTATTCCCGGTGCTCGAACTGGAAGAAGTAGATCAATATCCGCACAATCGGGAGCGTAGTGTTTTTCTGGATAGAAATCTTACTAAAGATGGGGAACTTGTTCCAACACCTGCTCCAAAACTTAGCAGAACTCCGGCTCATTCCGGCGCACTGGTCATGGAGAAGGATGAGCTTCAGATGGTGATGGAAATTTGTGCAGAAATCGATTTGGGAGCTGAGGATATGGCAAGGTTGTGTGAGGAACGGGTAATATTGACAAGTACCAAGCCAAAGCTTTGATCGGACGGAGTAGGTATATGGTGGTAGTAATAATTACGCTTGGGGCACAAAGTTTAGTCACATGAGTGATGCCGTTTACTTATGAGCTATTGCCGTTAAACTAATATTATTTTTATCGGTTCCAGAACTTGTTGATGGAATATGCTGTTTTCTAGAAAGATATTAGAATGTGCAAAGGTGTTTTAGGTGATCACGAGAATTAAATATTTGTTTATAAAGTCAAAATGTTTGATCCATTTAAATTATCCGATATTTCTTATGGTTTTTTTTTTTGATTATCGGACAGGTTTAGGCCGAAATGTCTCAGAATTTCGTGAAATTTTTCCCATCTCTCCCTCTAGTAAAGATCATGCCTATAAGAAGAAGAGGAGACAACTGGCTTCTTACTCTTTCATCTCTATCTCTATCACGCACTTCAAATCGGCCAATCACGAGCTGGTTCGCGTTTGACAGAAAAGTGGTTCGTTTTCGCCCCCGTATAGAGATTGCTGACGTTTATCGTACGCACACTAAAGGCCCAAGCTCAATGACGGCGGAAGCGGAACGGCAACGCCAGCGGAAAAGCCCGATCTGAGTAAGCCTACTCGTTGGATTGAAAACTAGTTAGATTCAAATCGACTTCAGTTAGGCATCTTGATGTCATTAGTGACAACTGTCAAACTTTCCGTTTCCGTTCCGCTTCCGCCCACATTGCGTTTGGGCCTTTAGTCACGTATACGTATATGCAAAATGTTTTCATCGGGAAAAAAAACTTCATATCGGAAAATTTTCCCGATGAAAACAAATCACTGACACAATCATACTTTAGCATTCTACTGTACCATTTAAATCGAATGAGCGCAAGAGAGAAACAGATTAGTGGGAAAACAAACCGTAGATTCATCCAAGTTTGCTAGATAGAGAAAGACTATTAAACGTCAAAAAGGTATATTGTCTCATCTTCCTCTTAGATCGTGCTCGCATGTTTTTAGTAGAAATACTCAGAGGGAGAGATGAGCGGAGAAAACAAAATACAATTCGGCAGCAGGGATTTGTAGCTAAATAATCTTGCAACCCTTGCTAGAAGCTAGCATTTCACATGACTTTTCCTTTTGATTCAATTTACGTGCAAAATAATAATTGAGTCTGAGTGCATGGCAATATTTTGTACATTTCTTGGTGCTATTAGTTAACCAACTAAGATCAATTAATCAATGGAGTTAGAACATTGTTTTTTATTCAAAAAAACTAGTTGAATTTGAGAAGCACACGAAACATAAATGTGACCTGGAGACGAACCAGCCCAGGGCTGAAAGTCTCCTTAATATAAAAAAAAGGTGATTGAATTTCTGTTCGATTGCAATACTCTCTAAATTAATCTAGTAAGAATAAGAAATCCTCGGAAAAATTCTAATGGGACTGTTCGATTGGCTCAGATTTTGACAGTTCATTTGGCTCAAAACATTCCTTCTGCTTCGGGGATTCTGGAGGATATTCTGGGAGCCATGTCTATCGAACTAGAAACTTAATCGAAAAGGTGAGTAACTTCTATTGTACTGCCAATAGCATTAAAATCTTATTAGCATTCTCTTTTCAGAACTATCCTTACAGTAAGCCTCTTTACTTAAATTGGGTCACGAATGTCTCCTGTACGGATGACTGGCATCGAGATCGAGCTGGGGAAAGCAGCAATAGAATATTGATGTGTAAAATGTTTAAATAAATTTGAAATTTGTGTTAAACAAAATATTTAAAACCCAATAAACATGACATCACACAAAAAATTATCGTTGATGAAATTGAAAAAATCGTTGGTAGAATTAACAGTTTGCGTTGGTTTTTTTGGTAGAAAGCGGTTAGCTTTCAAAATAAAAGTTAGCCAACAGTCAAATCAAAAGTAGTCTACTCACTACTTTTAAAAGTTTGAACTTTCAAAATGAATTTTACTACTGTCAAATCAAAAGCATCACAGTGTTGAAATTAAAAGTGGATTATTTTTTAACCAAAACAAACTATTAACATAAAAGTTCCTTACTGTTACAATAATATGTACCATTTCGAATTAAAAAAATCACTATTTTCAGTATGAATACCAGCATTTTCAATCATAACAATCAAATTTTTCATTTAAAAATCTATTAATTATAAAATTCCTATTTTTGTGCTTCAATTTCATGTTCCAAAAATAAATTTATGTTTTTATATTGAATGTTTTTACAGTTTACATGATAATTATTAGATTTTTGTATGGTTAGATAGACGTCGTATAGCAGCAGTCAGATTTTGAACTGCATCATCCGTCTGTTGTGGTCCAGTACGGAGCAACAAAACTCAGTGAACTGGTGGCTTCGCTGAGGACATGTTCTATGTGGGAAGCAGCCAGCGATCTAATCTAGAATGGTATATAGAAATTAATGAGAGTGTAAAAGTGTGGGGTAATCTTAAATAATCTTGTCCAAGCAGGAGCAAATTTAAGGTCACTTACTGGAATCTTTGTCGGACATTTGCGAGGTTTGCGTCTGTTCGAGAGTTTCTGTTGCATGGGTCGATGCACAGGCTGGTGGCTGGTAAAATGTTCCACCTATTGTTTGGCGCGTTTTGTCTTTATATACTCATGCTACCGTAGAATAACCCATAAAAGGTAGAAATCTACCCATGAAGAAGTAATTTTGACAGTAAAACAAATTTCGATTTGAAAATTTGCGCTTTTAAAACTACAAGATAAAATCAAAACATTCGTTTTTGAATTGAAAATTACATTGTTAAATTAAATATCTTCGTAGTTAGGGTAACGAATTTGTTGATACTTTTAAATTGAAAGGTCAATATTTTTACTGGTACAATTTTTGTTTTTTGTGTGTACTAATCCGATATGATTGACATCACACTTACAAGTGTAGAGCGTTTGATAATTATGTGTCAGATTTTTTAAGTCAACAAACGGGATATATGGAATCCGCGTGTGTCGCAAGCGTTTTTATAGTGATAAGAAATAGTTTATATCAAAACATTCACACTTGAAATGGATGTGTTTGCCAAATTGCGCAAATTTAGATGTGAAACACATGTGAGTGACGTGTTATTTTTTATGAGTGTATAAGAGAGTTTATCTGTGACTAGAAATACTCAGAGGGAGAGATGGGCGGAGAGAATGTTTTGAGCCAAATGAACTGTCAAAATCTGAGCCAATCGAACATTCCAATTAGAATTTTCCGAGAATTTCTTATTCTTACTAGAATAAATTTGAGAGTATTGCAATCGAACAGAAATTCAATCACCTTTATGTTTTGAGTGCTTCTCAAATTCAACTAGTTTTTGGAACCAAAAACAATATTCTAACGCTATTGATTAATTGATCTTCGTTGGTTAATGAATGGCAACCAGAAATGTGCAAAATATTGCGATGCAATCAATTATTATTTTGCACGTAAATCGAATCGAAAATAAAAGTCATTTGAAATATTAGCTTCTAGCAAGGGTTGCAAGATAATTTAGGAACAAATCCCTGCTGCCGAATTGTATTTTGTTTTCTCCGCCTATCTCTCCCTCTGAGTATTTCTATCTGTGACCCATATACCGACTCACATCCCTGTCAGTAGTTTGATCTATTTTTGTTTATAATCGTAATTCCTTTCGGTTTCTGATATAGAAAGAATTTTGCATCTGAATGGCGTCGCTGAAGGAGTTGGAAATCGACAGGATCTCGCTGCAACCTCCCACGGTACCATGTCCACAGGAAATTCAACGAATTCCGGCTGCGGAAATCAGCTACGGTGATTTTTTCACCCGATTTATGCAAACGAACACCGCTGTCATCGTTACTTCGGTAGCCGACCACTGGGAGTGCTATCGGCGCTGGGTACACCGCAACGAAACCGGTGTCGATAAAGTAGATGTGAGCTACCTAAAGGCGCGAATCGACAACGTGACTGTTCCGGTTGCAGACTGCGGCAAACAGTATTACAATGCCCACGAGAAATTGGACATGGGGTTTCATGATTTTTTGGATTATTGGAACGATGACGAGAAAAGGGTAGACACGCAATCGAAGCTATACCTCAAAGATTGGCATTTGCGAGAGACGATGCCGGAATATCGCTTCTACGAAACACCGATGTTCTTCGCATCAGATTGGTTGAATGAATATTTGGTGGACCGGAAGCAGGACGACTACATGTTCGTGTACATCGGTCCGAAGGGAACGTGGACGTCCTTTCACGCTGACGTTTTTTCATCGTACAGTTGGTCAACAAATATCTACGGCGTGAAAAAGTGGTTACTGCTACCACCGGGTGAGGAATCGAAGCTGAAGGATTCACTGGGAAACTTTCCGTTCGAAATAAGTGAAGAGTTGTTGACGGAGAAGAGGGTGGTTTATTATAATATTCTACAGAAAGCGGGAGAAGCTATATTCGTGCCAAGTGGTTGGTACCATCAGGTGCAAAATCTAGAAGATGCCATATCCGTTAACCATAATTGGTTCAATGGGTGTAATATAGTCAACATTTGGTATGGTTTGAACACAGCACATGAGCAGGTTGTGAAGGAAATTGAAGACTGCAGAGATATGGACAATTTTGACCAACATTGCCAACTGATGTTGAAGGCATCCTACGGAATGGACCTGGAGATATTTCTTAATATGTTAATACACATTTGCAATAAACGCTTAGATGCTTTTAAATCTAACCATTGTTTGGAACAGTTTGATGTTTACAAGTTGGGAAGAAATCATGTTCAATTCGATTTGATTGCTATTGACAATGTCTTGAACCTAATGCTAGACAAAAGCGATTTGCTGGAAGCTTTGCAGCTGCTAGCGAAGGTAGTTGACTGCATTGAAACAATAAATAAAAATACTTAATTAAGATGAAAATTATAATTTATATTTTCCGAAATTCTTGTAGGTATTCAATGCAAAAAGGAAATTTCGGATAGAAAATAATAAATTCACAACGGCTTGGTTTTTGGGATAACGGACTGTTTTTTTTTTGCTTTTTGTAACTGCTTACATTTTTAACAATATGTATGATTTGCAAAAAGTACACAAGATTTTCCTGGTAATTTCACCTTTACTCCATACAGTAGAGGGCTTTCTATTTGTTTACTCTTCTGGACTTTTATATAGTTTTAATGTTTAAAATTAGTTTTATCCATGTTGTTATTTATGAATTATTTATTTTAATTTTTCCTATAAATCGATCATCTCATAATCGATAGTGTCACCTGTTTTAATATGTGTATGTATGTATGTATGTATGCATGTGTTTCTTGAGCATTTACGCTATCCTTGCCGTGTTTGACTTAATATAATATCGTTTCCCTATATTTAGTGTTCCGTTTTCCCACATACTTACGACGATATTTTCAAAATGAATCATAATTAATTTGAGTAGGACTTCCTTTCGCAAACTACTCATTGGTTATCAGTAGCAAAAGCCATTGATTGGTGGCTCTTTATCTATATATGTTTCACAATCAATCAGTTGGAAGTTTGAAAGGCAATTGGAGCTTACACTATACAACATGTTCTGGATTTGATAATTCTCATTTTTACGATTAGCATATAGCTTGACTATAACGATTAGTGTCACTCGTGTATAGTTTTACTCGCGTTTTTTTTTATTAATCTCCGTTAACGTCCGCTTTTTTGTCTCTTTGTCAACTGTATTTCAATATGTGATCACATGGTGTGATCTCCTTTTGTTTTGCGCAGTTGTAAGATTTGGAATATGCAGTGCAATTCTTGCCCCTCTCGCTACATGAATTAAATATTGCAAAAGGAACTTTAGTTAGTAATATTGGCAGTTTCGCATGTCGTTAGTGAGGCTCAATTACGTCACTTCTAAGAAGTTCTGCTCAATGCACTGTGTGTGTGTGAACCGGCAAGTTTACGTACGCTCTTTCGGACAACTAAGTGCAATTAACATTAGTTTGATTGAATGTACAGAAAACTACAGCAGTTTTAATTATTCAAAATATCCATCTAAAAGCTATGATTGTGAAAACAAAAGCAGAACCTGTTAACAAAAATATAATCGCCTTCTATTAAAAAAATGTATGCACCCTACACTATAAAGTAATTGTCGATCAGCTCAACTGAATCCCTCCCTGTCCTGCTGCAAAAGGCGATACACCTTCAAAGTGGCCTGAAATTTGGAAGATACATCGCAAAAATTTTCATGAAAATACGTGTATAATGTATATTCGCTATCTGCTACATCAGTTTCTCGGTTTCAAAAAGGTTCTCTAACAACATAATAAGACGCAAAAAAGGAAATAAACTGCTATAAACCAGGAAATTTTGATCAACCGACTGTTCATCATCACACTTGGGCCTATCATCAGAAGCGACTACTGTTTCTACCATGATACAGGGGTTTCTTGCCACCTCCACCACCACCGGACTTTTTATTCCCTCCTCCGTACCCACCGCCGCCGCCACCACCTTTACTTCCTCCGCCTCCACCGGACGAATGACCACCACTGCTGCCTGGACCGCCGCCACTACTTCCGCCGCCAAGACCTCCGGGACCGAAGAAGCTTGGTGTCGGCGAGCTTTGCTGCTGCTGCTGCTGCTGCTGTTGTTCATCGGTGAGTGAGGCGAATGCATTATTGTTGCCCCAACCTTGGAACATCGATGCCGAACCCAGGCGGGTTACCTCCGTGGATTTTTGCTGTGAAATGGATACCAGTTAGAGTCAGATCCAGAAGTTTGGTAATTTATATTACTACACGGGATCGAAAAAATTACTGCATCGAAGAAATTGTCCACTATTTACAAAAAAATAATTATAGGGCTATCCTTAAACTAGGAACGTAGACAGTTTTTGAGCGTTTTAAGACCCCCAACTCCTCCTGCGTAGATATTCGTCCATACACATTTTTGGTACCTGATTAGAACCGTGAACACTCACCAAACTATAGTCGCTATATTCAAATGGTCAAATAGCGGAACCAATCGAGCAAATCTCGACCAACAACAGAAAAGAGCACATCAGCTGTTGCGAACGAAACTTCGGAACCCCTTTTCTCGTGATTCAAGGCTCGCCTACGCAAACAAACACCATCTTTAGGTTGTGGAAAGTTTCCCCTATCCGATGAAGCTGGTAATTTAACTTCGATTGGCGAGGGAAGAATAATCCACGTTTTGTTTTTAAAAGTTGATAGTACCTTTTTAATTGTTGGTCTACAATATATTGAATTGGTTCCGCTTTTTGATAGATCGAAATTCTATCCGCCAGACTATGAATATAGCGACTATACTCCTTCCCTCTTAAAGCCTCAAACGTAATAATTAGAATCGGTGTATAATGAGTCACGCCAAGTCTACCTATTGAACTGTCAAACCGGCTACCTATCGTGCAAAGTAAACAAGCATTACGATGCTATGAAAGGTATTGCAATTAAATATAAAATATAATCGAAGAAATGATCATAAATGATCGCAGGGAGCATTACATTTGTCATGCGATACCTTTTGTAATTGTCAGTAATGAGAATTTCTACTATTTTTCGTTAAGATATTTTGACAAAGTCACTGATATAATGATTTACTACAGCCGCTATTATTTTTTCTCGCTAGAAGTCATTTGAAGTTGATGCAGAAGTCCTCTGTTGCCAAGTGAAAAGAAAGAGAATCTTTCAAAAACCGTGATGCGAGTTCAACTGTTTTTCTCTTGGCGTGACTCATTATACACCGACTCTAGTAATAATGTAGTTTCCACTGTCATTGCGTTTGGGCGAAGACAGCCACAGAAAAACAAAACTACCCACCGCTTGGGTTTTTTAAACTCAAATTTGAGTTATTTGACCTCTGCCCGTTTCATTTCCTCTCGCTATTGTTGTCAAAAATAGAACGAAAGATTCGACTCAACCGTCTAGTTCCGTACGAGAAGCCAAAATTGAGTAATATGCGATATACCCAAATTTGAGTTAATTGAACTTAATTTTGGGTAGAAAAAATTGAAAATAACTTAGCGATGGGTATTTTTTTTTTGCCGTGCTTAAATGCAAACTACTTTGAGCTAGAGTCGGTGTATAATGAGTCACGCCAAGAGAAAAACAGTTGAACTCGCATCACGGTTTTCGAAAGATTCCCTTTCTTTTAACTTGGCAACAGAGGACTTCTGCATCAACTTCAAATGACTTCTAGCGAGGAAAAAAATTAACGGCTATAGTAAATCATTATATCAGTGATTTTGTCGAATTATCTTAAGGAAAAATAGTAGAAATTTTCATTACTTATCATTACAAACCGTATCGCATGACAAATGTAATGCTCACTGCGTGTATATGATCATTTCTTCGGTTATATTTAATATTTAATTGCAATACCTTTCGTGGACCTTTCATAGCATCGTAATGCTTGTTTACTTTGCACGATAGGTTGCCGGTTTGACAGTTCAATAGGTAGACTTGACTTCACTCTTGGCGTGACTCATTATACACCGACTCTACTTTGAGCCGGTTTACCCAAATTTGGCTTATCGTACGGAACATGGGAGATGAGTGAAAAGAACTTAATTTTGGGTTGTTTTGAATTTCTGTGTACCAACAACTGGCAACTCTTCCAAAATCTATAACCTTGAGATACAGTAGCACTGCACTTGAACAAAGGTGGAAGCAGCGCATAGGAAAATTATTGGTAAATACACAAACCTTTCTCCTGAAGTTGAAATCTTTGCTACCAAATTCGTTTGCACTGAAAACTAAACTAAATCAGAGTGAGTCACTTTTACTCTGTTGTGAGTCACTTTTACTCATTCGTACACGGATAGAAATCTCCTTATACCTTTTGGCAAATTTCTATTGTTGATTATTCATAAAATGTATAAGTCAACTAATAAGCAGACGCCTTGCAAAAAGTTAATGAAGATCATGTGTCAAATGAAATGTATAAGCGGTCACACATACCTTTTATGCATTCTTATAGGACCTATGTGGTTTGTCTTATGGAATGTATAAGGTTGATGTTTTGGCAAAAATGTATAAGTGAAACACATGAATAAAATAATTGATTTTCGTTTCGTGTATGGAGAACTTTCTGAAAGCGTAGGTCACTCAGCGCATGAGAGATTTCTCCACGCGAATGAGTAAAAGTGACTCACTCTCAGAGCAAGATACGTTTTCAGTGTGGAGCATTTACCTTCGAGCGACAGATATGTCGCATGGAGGTTATGACAAAACGGAAGAGTTGCCAAACTTCTTTATATGTTGATTTTGATTTGAAATGCGCCGAAACCGTACAATCTGTCACCATTTGAAAGTAGGTACTTAGTCACCTGCATATCTTTGCTCAAGACAGCAACTTCATAGATAGCCAGGATCTACTGATATAGCGCACACACGAAGTTCACATGAATGCTAGCACCACGTTGTGAGTGAATTCTGAACTTATCTATCCACCGCCACCCAAAAGGCCTTGACCCTCTGAACAATTTTGTCGCAGATAGAAACTTTCTATATGGCCATGATCATGAGATATTCTATGTTGAAATCAATTAATCCAAATTCCATTGCTACTCTCAGGGCTGTATGCAATTGTAATGTAATTGAAATATTTCACGCAATATTGACAATATTACACGGCGAATGAGAACGACCCAAATTTGAGTTTAGTTCACTCATAATCGCCAAAAGTGCAGGAACTCAGCGATGAATAAATTTGCCTCATGTTTTCCCAGGTTTTTCCAGGATTTTCCAGGGAAAAATTCCGGAATTTGAGAAAAGTCAAGATTGGATTCACTCAGTCTATTGGTACTACTCCGAGACTGAATAAAATTTTCGTCAATTTCCTCATTTTCCGGCAGATTTTTTAGGTTTTCCACAGGAAACCATGAGACAAATTTTACTCATCGCTGAGTTCCTGCACTTTTGGCAATTATGAGTGAACTAAATTCAAATTTGGGTCGTTCTCATTCGCCGTGTAGTTTAGACATCATCACTGAAAGAATGGATCATTGAAGATGCTGAGGTTTTGACAGCACCGTACTGTGGCTACCACAGTATTTTACATTGGTTCGTCCGTATACAGTAGCGCCAAATGAAAACTGTGGTGGGTTCAAAACTCAGCCATCTAAAATGATCCATTCACAATCGCTTGAACAGTGGTGCTCAACCTATCCCACATAGCGGGCCAAATCAATCTTTTGTATATTTATATGTATAAAGCTGCAGATGTGCTGTGATGACCGAAGGGTGGGAGTTTGGTAACCCTAATAAGTTTTGTATGGTTATTTTGCTTAACGACGTGTTCGGGGTATAATCCAAACCATTTATGGAATGGTTCAATCGTTTGGGTTATCGTTCGTTTATGGTTTTTTTTTATTAGGGAAGCCCTTTGGTCGTACATTTTCACAAAAATACGTATAATTCCGTACCAAAAGACACACATTCTATAGATTCGATTCGAGATTTATGGATTTGATTTTCTGCCAAATTAGATTAATCACGTAGATCTAGCATCGCTGCGCACTATTTGGGACATATGCAGCGATGCCAGGTATCCTGATTTTCATACACGAAAAAAGTTAGGGGTTGTTTATTTTGAAACGGTGCTCCTATGGAGCATTGTAGAAAGTTCTGTAGGAAATTAAGCCATGCAAAACATACTTTAATTGTTTATGTTTGTATAACTTCTACACTTTAAGTCTGCTATTTGAAACTTGGCATCTTCAACTGTGAAAAACGTGTAAAAAATGATTTTGTGTTGATGCATTGAAAATCGAAAATTATTATAATAATTAGCTTTTTACCACCCACAGTGTGTTGGCATAATATTTTTTTAAAACCAGTATCTCTGGAATGTCTTGAGACATTGGCCTAGATTTTCTTTCCGATCTAGTACAGACTATATTGCAATAGTTTTACAAAAATTGGTTATAATTTCAAAAAGTTATAACACACAATGTCCAAAAAGGCATGGTGCTTCAGAGTAAGTATGGGCGGGAAAGAGTTAGACATCACAAAATAAGGATTTCTAAATCTTTAAATAACGTTTTTCATTCCTGCATTGAAGCACCACTATACTGTGACTCTTTCTGTTTATTTTTTTACATTATATTTCAATCAATATTCTTATAAACTTTACCAAATAAGGTCCCAAAATTGCAACAAATTAGGTAGCTCGGCTAGCTGGGTGGCTGCCGCTTTTGCTTACTGAGTAGAAGATCGTGGGTTTACTTTCAGCACATCTCCCAGGCTCCTCCAAAATAAAACAATTACTATGGTCGCATCGCCTGCTTAAGCAAATCCTGACTATCTAACTCCGTAGCATCTTTGGGGGCGTCGGTGTGTCGCTGGTCTCCCGTTAAGTAGATGTTACATCAACAATATTCTTCCTTTCCTTGTAACGAAGAAGATGGGCGTGGCAGGCAACGGTAATTGTCATGCTTTTCCTGTTCTGAACTCTAAGAACTAATCACTCCCAAATTTAATTTCCTTCAGCAATTAACCATTTCATTCGAGCAGTTAAAATGACGTTTACTGCCACTCGAACTTTGAAATAAAGCATTATTTTGAGATTTTTTCTTCTAGAACCACGAGAAAAGTAGCCAACATTTGTGCGTTTCATAAAAAAATAGAAATTAGTTGGTCAATTTTTGTGAAATCGCTGGTAGAAAGTCACGCCAAAACTGCTTGACAAAGTTGTCAATTAAAATAAGAATGTTAAAGTAGATACGTGACAGCTGCCAGTATGGAATGTAAAAACGCAACGCAACGCAATGCATTCATATTTTGAAGTATCACTGCTTCCATTAAATAGTTCTTTACTGGAAAATGCAAAACTTCTGACATATTCTCGATAAATCAGAAGGTATGCTATGCTTGGTTTATAAATCTATGTCTACGATGTACATGTTTTTTTTTTTTTTTTTTGTCTTTATTATAGAGACTTTCAGCCTTAGGCTGGTTCGTCTCTTTATTTAACAGAAGAGGCATCGAAGGAGGCCCCCTTGGCAAAGCATAAACATAAGTTTTCATAACAATAATTTTTTAAAGTTCCATAAATTGAAATGTCAGGTTTAGTTGCGTTGTTCATCAAGTCAGTGAAGTTGTTAATCAAGAAACCTTAATCGTAGTCCTGTAGTGGCGCACTTTGTTGTTGTTTAGAAGTTCCCGTGGTTGATGTCAGCTAAATTCGTTCGTACAGTTTTGTGTCTTTAAGGAAACAGAGCAAAGCTGTTTCTGTTGAAGGGTCGTTAGCTAGAATATCTCTTATACCATTTTCTAGTCCGTATATTCTTCTCGAATCTTGATACTGAGGGCAAACAGCAATAATGTGTTCGACAGACTGCCGAATCCCACAAAAATCGCATAGGCTTTGATCGTATCGTCCCGACTGGAAGTGACTAATTCGTGTGTGGCCGGTTCGCAGCCTAGATAGGATTCTTTGATCTTTTCTATTATTTTGGTCATTCCATTTGGTAGTCTAACCTTTAACCTTACGAAGAAAAAGGTCTCTCTCTTGTTGCCATGCTACTGCCCAAGCTACCGAAATTATGTTTTTAACCCAGGTTTTGGCATCTTGAAAAGGTACCTGTGTGGTGAGTAGCTGCGAATCTCGACCTAAGGCCGCAAGCTTATCTGAGCTTTCATTGCCCGGGATGCCGCAGTGTCCGGGAATCCAAACGAAAAGAGTGTTAGGTTTCACTGTCGCCCGGATCATTTGTACCCATGGGTGACGTATACGATCCGTTTCAGGGGTTTAAGGACACTCGCGGAGTCTGATAATACGGCAGTATAAGTTGCCTTTGCATTAGTCGCTGCTTGATGAATAGCTATGGCCTCAGCCGAGAAGACTGAGCACATGTTTGGTAGCCGCTGGTGTATCACAAGATCTCTTCCTGACACACCAACACCTACTCTGCCATTGGCCTTGGAACCATCGGTGTATATTAAATCATATCCAGCTAACGTCGTCGCTTTCATACGATTGAAAGTACTTATAACTCCGACCTTACTTTCTCCGACTTTATAAGAACATTGAAAAGACCAGTTGACCTTCGGTTTGGAAGAGTTCCATCCTTGGCCTCCGATCCGGTCTAATTCAGCTACCGGTGGGAGTTCCTGATGAGCCAGTTTCTGAAGGAGTTTGTTAGCCTCCCTTAGGAGGAACACTCCCTCCTCATCTCCGTATGTCTTTTCCATGAAGCTCAAAGCTCTCGAGCAGGTGGTTATGGCCATGATGTAATGGAAAGGTAACACTCCAGCTTCGACACACGCTGACGACGCCGGCGTGGATGGTAGCAAACCAGAGACTATTCTTATGCAGCGATTGTAGGTCTCGTCTGAAGATCGGCAGGTGAGCTCTATACCGTATAACAGTCTGCTGATTACGATGGCCGTGGAAACTCGGAGCGCAGTATCGCGGTTATTGTGATTCCGACGGTTCGTAATCAAGCGTAATAGGCGTATTCTTGATTGACAATCTTCTCGGACCGTGTTAAAATGTTTTTGGAAGTTGAGGTGGCGGTCTAGATAGACGCCGAGAATGCGACAGCAGGTCTTGTAAGACACTGTGTTGCCTTCGATTTTGATAGGGTTTGACTCCGCCCGGTGTCGGCTGTTACAGATGTGTGTAAAGTTACTCTTGCTCGGTGACAACTCAAAACCTACCGATTTGGCCCATCTGTTAACGGCATTGACAGCTGCTTGAAGCTTTTTCCGAAGTGAAACTGGTCTATGCCCGACAACAACGAGGACGATGTCGTCAGCATAAACAAAGATGTATATATCTTTGGGAAGGTCCCCAAAGACTCCGTTAATAGACACTAGGAACAGTGTGACTGCGAGAACAGAGCCCTGGGGGACTCCAGTCTCTTCCCTTGCGATGTTAGACCTATGATTCCCGATGCCGACTTGGAAGGTTCTGTTCTTGAGGAAATTCTGGACAAAGTGAAGTATGTGGCCGGATAGGCCCCATTCAGATAACTGTTTTAAGACGAAGGGTGTCCATGTCTTGTTATAAGCTTTAGACAAGTCCAAAGCTGCTATGTCTACGTGCTGTTGGGCTTGTAGGGCGTCATCTAGAACTTGACCGAGGGAAGCAAAGTAGGTTCCCGTTCCGTAACCTTTACGGAAGGCATGTTGTCGGCAATCCAACAGATTGTTGTCTTGAAGGAAGTCAGTAAGTCTGCGGTTGACCATACGTTCCTTAGTAAAAGGCGAAAGATTTATTCGACAATTGAAGAGAGACCAGAGTAATGTACATGTTGAATATAATTACATTTTTATAGTGTGTCAAATTAAGAACATAGGGAAAGTAGTGAGGGTCAACGTATGATATAAAAAATGATTTTTCACAGCATTTTTTAACAATTCCGTCCAGATTTACATTTTTCCCATATTTCAAATAGTGGAATGAAAAAAAAAACTTGACTGTTAATTATTTAAATAAAAATTCAAGGGGCCATTCAAAAATGACGTTCATACTTTATGGGGGGAGAGGGGTTTAGATTTTGTGACAAGTTGTGACACGGAGAGGTGGAGGGTTTACAATAATTTGACATCCAACGAGAAAAATATGACCATATGACCATATGACAGAGGGAAAAACCAGGGACAAAAAATGCTAAAATTTGATGGACATCATATTTGAATCGCCCCCAATTTGATATTTCTTTAATTGCGTCAAATATGGTGCCTCCACGGTAAACAATTGTCGACAAATCAAAGTTTGTTTCCTTACCCGTATAACTAACAGATTTTGAAATTTCCCTAAAAAAAGTTACAAAATCCGAAAGTTACTGCACGTACGGGAATAAACCAAGTGCGTTCCAAACCCCATGTCTTACCGTCAAGTTGAGCTTCTTCGGATCGAACATAGGCATCTGCTGGCGAGCCGCGTTCTTCGACACCGGCTGCACGAACCCATCGTCATCGACAAACCGTTGCTTGTTTTTAGATGCATTACCGTCGCCGCGATTTCGATCGCCATCCTGACGGTAACCGCCGCCACCACCACGGCCTCCACTTCCGGACAATACAAAGTTCAAAATTCGGTTCTTATTCTCTTCGGTTTCCACTTCTTTCTGAATTTCATCCATCGTTTTCGGTGCAGCTTGTGCCCTACGCGGTTGCCAGTTGTTCTTCCGCAGGTCAGCCAGATCCAAAATCATAAATCGAATTCTGTTGCTTACTTGGAGGGTTGACTTCCTATCGGCAATTTCCTGCAGACGTTCAAAGTAGTACTGCAGACCTTGGGAATCTTGCACCGGGTCCTTCTCCATTCGTCCACCTATCGTAGTCAGCAGCTTACAGAGGCACTCTAGCGACTCTTCATCTAACATGTCTTCGCTCAGCAGAATGTTGATGCAGGTATACATAATTTTACAGGTGAGCTGATCGTGTTTGAACAGCTCGCCGATGAACCGGATTGTTCCCATGGCTCGCCTCCGAATTTTGGCGTCTTTCTCCTCCAGTTCGAATTGCAACTCATTAATCTCTGCAGATTTCTCTTCGGCAGCCTTCTTCTTTGATTCTTCCAACTCAGTTGCGTTCTCTTCCTTATCAGTGTGATGTTTTTCGAATTCCTTTTGACACTGAGTGATAAGCTTGCGCTTAAAGTTCGGTGGTTGTTTATTATCGGTCGTTTCAATCTTTATAATGGTTCCCAGCTCCTCGCACATCTGAGCGTAGGTATCAGTAAAACTGGGTTCCATGATGGCCTTCTCGAATAAAATCTTGATGCATCCATCCAATCGTTCCTCCGTATCAATTTCGTACAGTTTTACCTTTTCAACCAGTGTACCAAAATTGTCCGGTGTGAGTTTGTTCAGGACGCTGCGGAATTTCTTGAAGAGTTCGTGCGTTTTCTTGGCTTCATCATCCATCTGTTCTTCCTGTTTCAGTAAAAATCGTGGCCTCCAAGCGTTGGCAGATTCACGAAGTTTCACCTCTTCGGCGATGTTCAAATTGACCTTGATTATACCGCAGTCCACATCATCTCCTCCGCTGGATCGCATTTCCTTGGCCGATAACCGGCCTTGATATGGTGCCCTTTTCATCGGACCCGGTCGGCTGCCCATCATGGGACCGCCACCATCCATTCCTCCCCTCATGAAGGTTGGCAACAGTGAATTGTCCTGATTACCGAAGTTTCTACATGCTGCACTCATTGGACTGTGCGATGATTTCAAGATAGATCTACACACATCCGGTATCGTTGTGGGCTTTTCTCTGCTAATCGTGGTATCTTTCAGTGACAGTAGCTGATCCAAAGAATATTTCTTCCGTGCTCCCATTGTATCCTCGCCGAGTAGCTTTTCGGACGTTCGGCGAATACGTTTCCCTATCGACATATGGGCACCATCGACATTATTGTTGATATTGCCGGAGGAGGAGAGATTATTGTTGTCACTTTCATCGTTACTATTATGCGAAGACTGGTCGTGATCGGCTGTTCCGTTGATGTTTAACTTCGCCACCGAATCAGCCAGGTCGATTTGATTATTGTTATCCTCTTCTGGTTGCTGCTGCTGATGCTGGTCAGCGACCACGGGATCGCTTGTGTCAGCCATTACTAGGTGTTAAGCGTATCTATTGACAAAATCGATTTACTAGTGCGTGTTCCCTGATATTCGTTGCACAAATAATTTCATAAACAATAAAATGATAAAAAAATAAAATATATTCTCCGCTGCTTAAGTTTCACTTGGCAGGATAATGTTGTTTATCGTAGTGCATATGCAGGTAAGCAGGATTCGCTGAATAACAGTGTTTTCCCTTTCGACTACCTCTTAGGGACTAGTGGCGTATTGATAGAGCTCTGTTACGTGGCAGTATCAGGTTGCTTAAGTGGCAAATTCTAGAAAAAAAGAAACAAAAAAGAAAGCATTAGATATAAAGTTAACCTGGACAATTTTTATGGTAATTAAGATACCCGCCTCCCTGCGTTGATAGTTGCCATTAAAAATATAATATAACGTTTCAGGCGTAACATTTGATAACGGCACAAAAGCATTTGTAAACAACTTTTCTAAGGCCCTTTACACGCGAACCAAAGTACGCCCACGCAAATCAATACCATTTTCGGAAAGGTTGTTGCCCCTATCTGATGATGTTGTTGGTTTGCGTGAGCGTACTTCGGTTCGCGTGTAAAGGGCCTTAAAAAGTTTGTTTACAAAAGCTTTTGTGTCGTTATCAAATGTTACGCCTGATTTTATATAGACCCCAGAAAACTGACAACACTCCGAAAGCTCCCACACGGGTCTAATGGACAGTATACATAGTATAGGTATAACGCAACAAACAGCGAGAGTTCAAGTGGTGAAAGAGAGTGAATCTTTGCGGAGGCGCAATTTGAGCAAAGTCGGTTAACAAAATGAAAGCAAATCGGTATTAAAGTTTGCAGTTCCTATCATATGAAAGTTCAATGTGATTTCAATTGTCGCGACATAAATCTGATATCATATTGTGCTTTCATTATGTAGTCAAGATGTTTTTAAATGAAAGTAACTAAACTTTAAGTTCTACTGTTAACGTCTTCTTAATGTTCATCTGTCGTTCAACTAACGATTATTCCTTAAAATTTGTCGAACCTCTTAACGGAATCCCTTTATGAAGAGCTTTGAGTGTGTTGGTTTATTTTCTTTAAATTCCGTTATAATTGCTTATCTTTTGACAGATACGCGTATTTCGTCTACTACTTGCAGACTTCATCAGTGCCAAGTACTCAACACCACTGGTGGACCTTGGCACTGAGTACTGAGTTGAGTTTAAGAAGTCTGCAAGTAGTAGACGAAATACGCGTATCTGTCAAAAGATAAAGGGTGATACGGTCAAAATTTGGTCAAGGGAAAACGCGTGTAAATCGGTGAAATCATTTATTTAAAAAATCAAATTAAATTTCTTTTTCAAGTTCAATTAGTATAAAATTCAAGAAAAATATTCAGTTAGGCTTCCGCTTTTCCAAATCCGAATTGCCGGGCCTTACGCTTGACCCCTGCCATCAGATTTTGTACAGCCACCTTGTCCACCTTCTTCGCCGCAGAAAGCCAGTTTGCCTTGAACTGCTGCTCACCCTTAGCAGTTTTTTTGGTCTTCTTTAGGTCCCGCTTGACAATAGCCCAGTATTTCTCAATTGGGCGGAGCTCTGGCGTGTTGGGAGGGTTCTTGTCCTTGGGAACCACCTGCACGTTGTTGGCGGCGTACCACTCCATGGCCTTTTTACCGTAATGGCAAGATGCCAAATCCGGCCAAAACAGTACGGAACAACCGTGTTTCTTCAGGAAAGGCAGCAGACGTTTATTCAAACACTCTTACACGTAAATTTCTTGGTTGACAGTCCCGGAAGCTATGAAAATGCTGCTTTTCAAGCCACAGGTACAGATGGCTTGCCAAACCAGATATTTCTTTGCGAACTTTGACAGTTTCATGTGCTTGAAAACATCTGCTACCTTTCCCCTTCCTTTTGCCGTATAAAACTCCTGTCCCGGAAGCTGCTTGTAGTCGGCTTTGACGTAGGTTTCGTCGTCCATTACCACGCAGTCAAACTTCGTCAGCATCGTCGTGTACAGCCTCCGGGATCGCGCTTTGGCCGTCGTATTTTGTTTATCATCGCAATTTGGAGTCACTACCTTCTTGTAAGTCGATAGTCCGGCTCGTTTTTTGGCTCGATGCACGGTTGTAGACGATACACCCAGCTTATTTGCGGCATCTCGGAGAGAGAGGTTAGGGTTTCGCTTGAAACTACCGGCAACTCTCTTTGTCGTCTCAGCGGCTTCCGGTTTTCGATTTCCCCCCGATCCAGACTTCCTGGCTGTCGACAAACGTTCCCCAAACACTTTAATTACATTTGTAACGGTTGATTTGGCAACTTTTAGCGATTTTGCCAACTTTGCGTGCGAGTAGCTCGGATTTTCGCGATGCGCGAGCAAAATTTTGATACGCTGCTCTTCTTGCTTGGACGGCATTTTGACAACTGAAGAGTGAATTCCAAAATCAAAATAGGAGCTACATTCTACACACACACACACCTTCAACATGAGGGGTGTTCAGGTTATTTAAATGCAAAATTGAAAGAAATACGTCAAGCTGATATTGACCAAATTTTGACCGTATCACCCTTTAAGCAATTATAACGGAATTTAAAGGAAATAAACCAACACACTCAAAGCTCTTCATAACGATTATTGATTGTTTGTTTTGTTTGACACATTTTAGATCGTTCGTGACTTGTCCGGAATGAGATTTGAAATCTGAAGAAGCATGGATGTTAACCATTTACATCAGGCCCATAATTAGTTAAATGTTATGAATGCAAAATCAGAAATCAAATTGATTTCATTAAAAGCACGATTAGTTTTCCGTTTGATTCAGCAGTGTATAGTAGAGTTGCTCTCATTTTTTTATGTGTTAACCATTAAGTCAGGCAAAATGAGATCAACTGGAGTATTCAAAATAATTTTCATCATAACAGCAAATTTTAATTACAATTTGATTTCTAGCTTTGCTCGGGAACCATGACTGAATCAAAATAAAAACTCATAGTATTACCAAAGATGAATACTAAGATGAAACTGTCGGAAGAAAAACTTTCAATTTTAGTGTCCTCTTTCACGGTTCCTTTCATCCAATGAATACCCCCAGTATGCAAGGTAATTTTGTGGTTTAGCTGTCCCCTCGGTAGAGATGAAATTTTGTGCGCTTTTTTATCAAAACAAACACACCAAAATCAGAGATGTCCCATTTTTTAATTACTCGATTAACAACTAATCGATTATTTTTTGTTCGCTGTCCTGTCATTTTTCCACCAATGAGAGTGCAAAACTTGTTTGAAACGATCGGTGATGATCCTCTGAAGAAGTTAATGCTTATATTGGCATGATATAACCGATTACAAATATTTTACTGTTCGGTTCGTTAATCGATTATTCGAATGAAAATCCACCATCACTAGATGAATGTGAAACGTCATTTCAAATATAAGGACCGTACATAAATAAAGATACAATTTGAAAGGGACCGGGGCTAATCACAAATTACGGTAACTGAAATAAACACGCGTGTTCACCGGTTGGTATTACCCTATACATCTTCCTAGTTTACTGCTTATCCGAAGACAAACAGACTTTAAGCTCGGCGTTCCTACTGTTCATCGTTCACTCATAAAAAAATATTGATTAAATGTGTTATTAGTTAGTAGTGCCATAGCCAGCTATTATGCAGTCCTCATTTAGCAGAACCGATTCTGGGCCCACGCATAAATTCAGAAATACGGCGTATCTTAACTTCTAGGTGGATTACCCAAAATACACACTATTTTCCTCATCAAATATGTCTTAACAAAGAAGCGTCCAAAAGTGATGAAAATTATGAACCATTCCTTAAAAAAAACTATAGTTAAGGTGGCAGCACAGAAAAACAGACATAACACTCACAAGTTGTTCATCGAACAAGCATTTAACGATCAATTTAAAAGTATCTCAATTGGTAGTACTGCCACCTGTGGCGCGCATAGTCAATTCCCTTGCGTTTGACGTTTACACACTACCGCCATCTGTTCAGCGTACTATCCACCACAGTGTACTCAACAGATGGCGGTAATATTTTAGCGACGATGTTTTACAATGAGAAATATTCAATATGTTATGTCTGTTTGTCTGTGGTGGCAGTATGTATTTTTGGATCGAATCCATCTCGCTCAGGGAAAGCTCCTTGCACTGCAAGTTAGGTTGACTAAAATAAGTTACAACAGTGCCAACCTACTTTAAAAACAATACTTTTGATTCAAATCTATCGAAATTGCTCCCTGTTTTTTTTTTTATCAAAATTCGCTGAAATCCAATGAACTTTTTAGAAAGTCAGAAAATTTCTCTAAAATGTTATAGACTTACTAAATTGACTATAATTCCCCTAATAAAATGTGTATGGTTATTTTTCTTAATGACGTGTTTGGGGTATCATCCAAACCATTTGTGCAATAGTTCTATTATTTGGGTTTTCGTTCGTTGTTGAAATTTTTATTATGGTCTTTATAGAACGTATAAAAATAAATATTTTCAATGCAACACTTAGTTGAGTATATTTGGATGCCAATCGACAACCACTGCCGTAATTCGACGCAATAACCATCAAATGAAAGTTACAGTGGTACAATAGAACGCTATTGATTTTTTTCTTGAATCGGCCAACTGGTTCCGCAGATATGAACATGACACCAGAAATGAAGAAAAAGCGACGCATCAAATCACATGAGAATTCGAAAACAAGATTGATACCAGTATAACCGTATAACTGCCCATCATGCGACACTTAAATCACATGCGCATTCAATAATTAGATCCTTGGGATCATAAGACTGCGCAAGACTATATGGGCCATATTCGTACTTCATCCGGATACCCCCGAGCGCTCATAATTTATTAATTCAAGCTTTAATTTCTGACCCAGTATTGTTTGTACACAACATATGTACGAGCTCAACAATTAAACATTACCAAATGGGGATCCATAGTCGTTAGCATCCATATCTCTGACGCCAAAGTCACGCATTCAAATCTCATCCCGGATAAATCACTAAAGACCCAATAGTGTTAAAGAGACAATCATATTCATTTGCAAGCCCGATAACTTAGAGCGAAACAACAAGAAGATCTGTGTGTGACGGGACGTTCAAAATAACAATGCGCAAATCGTTATCAGTAGGTAAACATATATGCATCGACGTTAATAGTGAGGCATACAAATATGAGATACTTTTCGTCACGTGGAATATTATGTTATTGATGTTGTACAAAGTTGCGAGTAGGGTTGTTTCAATTACCGGATTCCGTGAGCTCCCGAATTCGAAGCAAAATAGATCCA